TCTCTCTCTCTCTCTCTCTCCCCCTCCCTCCCTCCCTCCCTCTCTCTGTCTCTCTCTCCTTCCTGGTGCCATGTCCAGTCGCTCTCCCCCACCACCCCCTTCCACCATGATGTTCCGTCTCACCTTGGGCCCAGGACAAGGGGGCTGGCTGGCTGCGGACTGAGACCTCTGAAACCAGGAGTCCCCAGATAAACTTTTCTTCCTCTAACTCTTCTCCTCAGACCTTTTCATCACAGTAGCAAAAAACAAAAAAACAAAACTAGCACACGTGCAACAGAACCATGATGTACCTATGCTAAGCAAGGTTTGCAGGTCTTGAGGGACTGGCGGTTTCCATGGATACACGGGATGGAAGTGTGATCAGAGGGTGTCTTCCATTCGGTCTGAAAAAGTAGAGCCTGAGACAGGGGTTTCTTGTTCTGGTGATGGGTGGGGAAGAGCTTTCTAGAAAGGAAGTGAAGGGAGCAGCAGGGGACACACGGAAAGAAAGGGTCTCCGCTGGTGCACAAAGGGCACCACAGAGTCCCCCCATGTCACTCGTCATGGAGGGGCACCAGGCGGCTCCAGTCAGCCAAGGGCCATTCGGTGTGAGTGTCCTGGGGAGGACAGAGGCCCGCGACTGCAGGCTGAGGTGGTGGCCTCTGCGTGGCCAGCAGTCCCAGCCCAGGGCGGAGTCTCCTCCGGGGAGGGCGGGAACCACACGGTCCCCAGGAGGCCCGGAGGGATCCGGCCAAGTGTGCGGCTGCCTTTTGGCGCTATGGGGACCGTCGCCCCCGGGTCCGGGTCGCCGCTGTGGCCCGGGCTCGGGCTCCTGCTCCAGCTCGCGACGCTGCTGGGGACGCTGGGGCCACAGGTGAGAGCCGGGGAGGAGGCAGAGCCTCTAGAGTCTGCGGGGAGCCGGGGACCGGGGCGAGGGCGGGCGAGGGGACAGCGGGGCGATGGGGCGCCTTCCCTTCCTCTCCGGCCCCGGGTCACCTCCAGTAGGTCCCTGGAGAAGTGCCACTTGCGTCTGGAGCTGCAGAGGTGTGCCGGCGTGGAAACGCACAGGGAGGCGCAGCGCCCGCCTCTTCTCCACGGAGGGCAGGGAGCAGGGTCCATCTGGAGAAGGGGACAGTCTGGCAGTAGAGCCAGGTCCCTTAAAACTTCTAGGGAGCCTGGCCTCCTTTAAAGATGTGACCAATTTAAGGATCCCCTGCTGAGACATGCGCCTCTACGTTTTTCAATACCAGGCGCTTGGCAATGCACCCCCCACCACCACCACCTTATCCAAGACAGGACCCCAGGTTCAGAACCTCTGAGAAAAGTGAGCTCAAGGTGGTAGGGATCTGGTCCAGCCCAGCCAGGAGCAGAGACATCCAATCTTGGGGGAGCGCAGTCAGGACACAGAAGATGCCCAACCTAAAACCCAACTGCCCAGCCTGGAGCCCCGGTAGCACTAAAGGAAGGGCCTTGGCCTGAGCTACTCCCCAGCCTCCTTTCCAGCTCTGCATCCATCCGCGGTTGTCAAGTAATAATGAGAGCCGGGTGGGGCCAGAGCTGGTGTTTCCAGAAAAATGAGAACAATTAGAAAATCCGATTTTTTTAAAGTGAAATCTTCCAAATGTTACAAAAATTGGTAATAAAAACCAAAATTTTGAACATGAATGGTCAAACGAAATTCGGTGGGGGCAGTCAGTGTGTAGCATCTTCTCTAAGCCATCCTCACTTCTGCCATGTTGCAGACGGAAGAACTGAGGACCAGAAAAGAGAGGGGGCTTGAGCTGGGTGTGGTGGCAGCCTCAGCAACTCAGTTAGGCACTTAGCAGCTCAGTGAGACCCCATCTCTAAATAAAATACAAAATAGGGCTGGGGATGGGGCTCAGTGGCTGAGTGCCCCTGGGTTCAATTCCAGGTACAAAAAAAAGTCAGAGGGGGGTGGGTCTTGAAGAAAGTTGCCGCACTCTGCACCAGATACTGTGGGCTCAGACCCCAAGCTGAGGGTCTGAAGCAGGATGTGGCCTTTGCAGGGGTGCGGCTGGGCCACCCGGATGTTAGAATGCCTGCTGTGAGCTCAGCCTCACCCTGTTTGCTCAGGGAGGGGCTACAGCAGGTGAGTTAACCCAGCAGGGGCCAGGTCCAGCCTCCCTCCCCACAGCTACCCCCGAAGCTGTGGTTTGGGGGCCTGTTGGAGTCTGGCACCCAAAGCAGCTGGGCCAGTTTGTGGGGAGGGTGTGGGGCAGAAAGGGTCATTCTAAAAGAGATAGACATTGTGCCAAAGAGAAAGAGACCAGGCTTAGAGTCTGAGTTGCACCTTTGATTATCTGTGTGTCTTTAGGGCAGTAACCTAACCTTCCTGAGCTTCCTACTCCCTGATCTGTGCAATGGGGAGACTCAGAGATGCAATCTCATAGAGAGGCTGGAAGGATCAGGGTAGTCCTTTCATTACAAATTGCAGTGTTGGGGCTGGAGTTGTGGCTCTGTGGTAGAGTGCTCGCCGGGCATGCGTGAGGCCCTCGGTTTGATCCGCAGCGCTGCATATTAATATATTAATCAATTAATTAATTAAAAAGATCCATCGACAACTAAAACATATTAAAAAAAAAAAAAAAAACTTGCAGTGTTTTTTGAAAAGCCAGAAGGAACGGAAGCGAGGAGGAAGTGGGAATTTAAATACAGTGGGGGCCAACTCCCCTGGAGGCCCCCAGCTCTGCTGTAGTCACAGGGTCAAAGCAATGATTGGTGCAGACAGAAGCTCCCCCGATCCTCGATCCTCCTCCCCCTCCGTCCCACTTCTGGGAGAAGAGGGGTCACAGTCGGCCCTGCCTGGGGCAGGAGCAAGGGTAGTCTAGGCCTCTCAAAGGAGCCGACGCTATTCCCCACCACAGGCGCAGACCCTGAAGCCAGAGAGCCTCCTGCTCGTGTCCACCTTGGATGGAAGTCTCCACGCGCTGAGCAAGCAGACGGGGGACTTGAAGTGGACGCTGAAGAATGGTGTGCCAGGGGCTGCCACGGCTCTCTCCTGGGGTCCCTAGTTGGATGGTGGGCATGGTAGGGAGTCACTTGGGCATAGAGAGTAAGCACACGGGTGCCAAGTTCCCACCAAGCCAGTGTCTGCAGGCAGCTTCCCCACTTCCCAGCTGGGTAGCCGTGGGAAGTTCACTTCACCTCTTGGAACCTCGATGTCCTCACCTGTAAAATGGGGCCAAGGGTAATGAGCCCACCTCACAGAGTTCTTGGGAGGAGACCTGACATTCCTGTTGAATGCTGGGCTTGGTAAGCACCAGCTGTGCTTCTCAACTAGAGTCTACAGGGGGCTCATGCTGCGTGTCCTGTCCCTGCAGATCCCATCATCCAAGGACCAATGTATGTCACAGAGTAAGTGAACACGAGGAGGAGCCGGGAGATGGAGATGGGAGGGTTGTTTTTAGGGGGTGCGTGTTAGAAAGGAGGGAAGAGAATTGGGTCTGGGTATGATATAGGGGAAGATCTTGGGGCTCCTGCTGAGAATTTGGAGGGAATGGGAACCTTCATAAAATCAGGGCCTTGAACTCAACCTTCTCCATTTCTTCTCTGTCCCACAGAACAGCTTTTCTCTCAGACCCTGCTGATGGCAGCCTGTACATCCTGGGGACCCAGAGACAACAGGGATTAATGGTGTGTTTCCTACAGTACTCTGGGATGGTGAGGGCCCTGATGCCGTCAGCTGGTGCACTGAAGGGGACTGGGGTAGCATGGTCAGAATCTGGGAGTCTCACCGGGGATGTAAGTCAGGCTCTGAGCATCATGGGTAGGCTGTCTGCTGGAGGGACCGTGGCTCTCACTGTGTCAGCAGAGCAGGCTGAGGACACTGAGGGGGCTTCTCAGGACTCTGGTGGATTTAAGGAGAAACTTATGTGTCAATTAGCTTTTGCTAAGTAACCAATTGCCTCAAAACCAAACTACTCGAAATTCAGTGGCATGATATTTAGGCTGGGCTCGGTTGGGTGGTTCTTCTGCTGGTCTGGATCAAACTTGCTCCTGCATCTGTGGTCCACTGTTGGCCAGCTGGATGGCTCCGTTTCTGAAAGTTGAGAGTTGTTTGGCTGGTAACAGGGTATACATACCCTAATCTTACCCTGTCCCCATTATCCAAACCTAACAAGGATCAAGAGCACATGGAGTCCACTCACATAATCCAGACAAGTTCAACTCCAGGGAGAGAACAGGGCAGAGGAGGGTGGTGGGTGGATCTCTACTCCTAGCCACATTGGGCAGGGTCCCCCCTCAGTTCCTCAACCTCTCTGAGTCTTTCATGGCTGTTGACAGTTTTGAAAGTCTCCGTGTTTTTGAGAAGGGCATCAGGCAGGGATCGGGTGTAACCTGGGGCATCTTGACACTGGGTATGGGAAGATCTGCAGGTCCTTGAGAAGCTGTGTAGCAAAGTGGTTATGTACTGCCTCGGAAGACTGTCTAGCTGGGTATAAAATCTGGCTCTGCCACTCAATGGCTGTGTGGCCTCTCTGAGCTCCAGTTTTCTGGGAAGCATAAATAATAATAATAATGATGCCTCATGAAAATGTGATTATGGGGTCAACCTCGGAAGGGTATCCAGCACAGCTGACTGCTGTGTGTATGTGTGTGTGTGTGTATGTGTTTCCAATTCTTCCTGGATATTGTCCCTATCCTAGAAACTGCCATTCACCATCCCAGAGCTGGTCCATGCCTCGCCCTGCCGCAGCTCCGACGGGGTCTTTTACACAGGTGAGCTCCTCTCCAGTCTTTGGCATCCAGGTCCAGCCAGCGGGAATGGGAACCTGGGCTGTGATGGGCCAGCCTGACACAGAGGCACAGTGTTTCCCACGCCATCCCCCTCTGCAGGACGGAAGCAGGACGCCTGGTTCATAGTGAATCCTGAGTCAGGGGAGACTCAGATGACACTGACCACAGACAGTCTCTCTACCCCCCACCTCTACATCGGCCGAACACGTGAGTCAGGCCCCAGCTGCTCCCCAAGCTCGGGGCAGCACCCTTCATTCTCTGTCCAGGCCTGGCAGCTGCTATCCAAGTTGAGACCAGGCAGATTGGTTAGTCATCAACAAACATTTAACTCAATGGTGGCGGATACAGAAATGAACAGACAGCCTCGTGCTCTGTCATTGGGATATTCACCAGGCCTACAGGAGGGTGCCCAGGAAGTCCCTACGCCACAAAATGAACAGCCTTCAGGATGGGGTGAGGGAAGTATCACATGGGTACTCCTGGTAATCTTGCTTTGGGGGATCTCCAGAGTACACGGTCACCATGCATGACCCAAGGGCCCCGGCCCTGCGCTGGAACACCACCTACTGCCGCTACTCAGCAGCCCCCATGGATGGATCACCTGGGAAATGTGAGTGCCACCTTTCCCCAGCCCTGTCTTGGCATAAGGTCCCCAGGCCAGGGAACCTTGAATGGCATCCATGACCAAGTCCCACCCATCACGTGCTGAGTGACTACTACCCTTGATAGATGATTCCAAGGGACCCCCTCAACACCCAGACTTCACCCTCATATCTCCATGCAAGGTCTCACCATCCCAACTCTTCTATAACCCAAATGACCCCAACCAGGTAGCCTTAGGTCACTCCAGCTACTAAGTGACCACAAGAAATCCACACACCCTGAGCACTCCCCACTTGCCCTAATTGAACCCTACATGATGAGTGACCCTTGCAGATGATCCCTCAGAGAAACCCAGCCACCCCCTGGATAGTATGCCAGGCCTTCCCAACTGCCCAAGGACCTCACAAGTGCCCCTAAATAACCCCTCAAATCTTGACCATATCCTTCTGCATGAGACTCCATGAAGGTACCCTGACACATCACAAGTGACACTCCCAGGGCCCTTATCTCTTTCATACTCCATGTGACTCCCAGGTGACCTTTATATCTGGGCCACAATGATGACCCATCCTAAGTGAGCCTCGGTCGATGGCTGACTACCCTACATCCTAAGGTTCCTCTTAGATGACCCAGTCTGTCTCACACACATCTGAGTCACCTTTGGATGATCCCATGAACTCTGACCTTCCTATATCCTGGAAACCCTCCAAGTAATCTCACCTGACCCCCACACACCTGAACATCCCTCTACCCTGGATGCTCTCGGATGTGTCCACGAGGGCTCTCGCATCTCCCGGCCATCTTTCTTGGCAGACATGAGCTACCTCACATCCTGTGGGATGGGCCTGCTGCTGACTGTGGACCCAGGAAGTGGGACGGTGCTGTGGACCCAGGACTTGGGTGTGCCTGTAATGGGCATCTACACCTGGCATCAGGATGGCCTGCACCAGCTACCCCACCTCACACTGGCTCGGGACACCCTGCATTTCCTCGCCATCCGCTGGGGCCACATCCGGCTGCCTGCTTCAGGCCCCCAACATACGGCCACACACTTCTCTGTCTTGGACACCCAGCTTCAGTAGGTATCCACACCTGGGGTCTAGAAAGGGAGCTTCTGGAGTTATCCCAGCCCAGGCCCAATGACCAGGCATGATGTTCAACCATGACCACCAACAGCACCAAAAAAGGTGTCAAAACACTGTGCCCCCAAGTACCTCCAGGGCCCCCTGGTTAGCCCCACTGTTCAGCAACTAATAGGGTAAAATCTGGCCTACGAGCGAGCCTATAGGCCACAGCCCCTCTGATTGCTAGATTCTGTGCCTAATGATTATTAAATACTTTAAAAATCACCTTCTCTCATAACACCTAATACTTTGGTGTCTCCATCTCGCAGTATCAGGAGACAGACTGGGAAAGTCTGGGATTGTCCATATATTCATTTTGTTCCCCAAAAACTTAACTAAGCATTTACTATGTGCCAGTCACTTGCTAGGCTCTGGAAGTACAACAATAACAGCCACTGTTCCTGCCTACAGGAATCTCGGAGTCCTAGCATGGTGTGAGAAAGGATGAGATGAGAGAAGTACAGGGTATGGTGGGAATGTAAAAGAAAGATACCCAAATTGAGACTGGGGGCAGGGGCAGTCATGGAAAGCTTCTTAAAGAAGGGACATGTAAGTTGAACCCTAAAAGGTAAATAGGAAATGGGAGATAGAAAGCACGTCATCCAGGGAACAGAAAAATTAAATCAGGCTGGAGCATATAGCCAACAGGAAGTGAAGTCTGAAGTTCTAAGTTAACTGGGATCTTGTGGGATCGTGTAAAGGGCTTGAACATTTTTCCCCAAGGCTAAGGAGAAAGCACTGGAGGACCCCTGAGACCCCCAAATGAGGAAGCGTTTTGATCATATTTTCATTGTGGGAAGCTCCTTCTAGTCACAATGTGAAGAGTGATACAGGGAAAACAGGACACTGAGAGGATATGCTTTAGTTCAGGCAAAGGATGATACTTTGGACGAGAGTGAAAAACAAGAGATGGAAATAAGATATAAGACATGAAGAGGTGATGATAGTAAGAATGATTAGGAAGCGGGGTGGCTGTGAAAGAGGAAAGGGCCAAGGGTCACACTTAGGTTTCTAGAAGCATGTGGGTGCCATCATTTTCAGGGGCAGGGAGCACTAGAGGAGGAAGCCCAGAAAGAAACAGAAGAAGGGGAAGAGTCAGGTGATGTGTTCAGATTTAGAAAATTGAGATTTTTAAAGGGGGGTCTGGGATAGACATGAATTTATAAATTGTGACTTCAACGTTTGTATCCATTTTGCTGCCCAACTACTCAAAACATAGCACTTAAAAACCACACTTATTAGTTCTCAAGCATCTGTGGGTCATCTGGGTAGATCTTCTGGTCAGGAGTCAGCTGGTGACTTGACAGAGCCAACAATCTAGGATGGTCCCCACTCGCCTCTCTCCATATGGCCTACAAGGTATCAAACAGCATAGTTCTTTGCTACTTCACCAGGTCTTCCTCAATGGTCATCTCAGAGTCCCCAAGAACAATACCAGGGAGGAAGCCCCAGTACACAGGCATTTTACAAGTCCCTTCTAGGGACATGGACTAACACATGTCACATGACCAAGTTCAGAGCCAATATGGAAAGATCCTCTATGCCCACATATCTGAAGTCACACACCACTGTGACCCATTGTTCTCTTTTTTCTCTCTCCCATTAGGATGACACTGTACGTAGGAAAAGAAGAAGCTGGCTTTTATGTCTCCAAAGCCTTAGTCCACACAGGAGTGGCCCTAGTGGTGAGAAGGGGTCTCTAGAGGGCTGGAAAGAGGGGCAGGAGAGGGGCCTCCTTCATGGCTGTCCATCTTCTCCCATAGCCTCGTGGACTGACCCTGGCCCCCATGGATGGCCCGACCACAGATGAGGTGACACTCCAAGTCTCAGGGGAGCGGGAGGGCTCACCTAGCACTGCTGTCAGATACCCCTCAGGCAGTGTGGCCCTCCCGAGCCAATGGCTGCTCATTGGTAAGGTCCCTTGGCTCAGATTTGGAATAAAGGGTCTGTGAGCCCAGATCCTTTAGAAGTTAGAAGGCTGAGATCACCTTCAGCCCTGCGATTTGTGTCCCTGCCCCTTAGGACACCATGAGCCGCCCCCAGTCCTGCACACCACCATGCTGAGGGTCCATCCCACCTCAGGGAGTGGGACTGCTGCCACAAGACCCCCAGAGAGTACCCACACTTCAACTGTCTTCTCAGAGGTCAGTGCGAGAAGGGCAGAGGGCAGCAGATACATGGACAGCCCTTGGACCTTTCCCTCGGGCTTCTAGGAGTGACCTGATGGAGGATTAGGTGACCTCAGAGTTTCTGAGAAGACAAACATTTTGTGGTTGTCACTGTCAGAACTGTTAGAAGTATCAAAAAGATATTGTAGGTACCTAAACAGTGAAACATGGTTTGCTGTCTTTTATGTTTCTTCAGCACAAATATTGTAAAATATTCATCAAGTGAGAATTTTAAAACAGAAAAACTATAAAAAAAAATGTGCCTTCCTGGGAGCAGGTTAGATAAGAAATACCAGTAAGTAGTTCAAGGTCAGAAGGAAGAGCCGTGACTTGGAGTACTAATTCTCAAATCTGGTCGCTCATCAGAATCACCCAGGAATCCATTCCAGACACACCAAATGCAGTCTCTGGAGGTGGATGTCTGTATTTTTAATGACGCCCCACGAGTACCTGTATTTTTAATGACATGCAAGGAGATGCTGGTTTGGCAAACCACACTCCTGGGCACTGTGATGTTTCAGCACCACGGAGAGCTCCACGGTCCCCACCATAACAGACCACTCACTGCCCCTTCAGCTAAGCCCTGCCCTGGACCGGGTGAAGGGTTGGGGGTTCCAATGTGAGAGGGAGTACCAAGATTGAAAACTGCTTCGTTCCCAGCTCCTGAGCCCGAGTCAAGAGGAACCTTGGGACGCAGAGCTACATCCTGAAGAGAAAACTCCAGACTCTTATCCAGGGCTGGGATCCCAAGACCTGCTGGCAGCCAGTCTCACAGGTGTCCTCCTGGGAGGCTGGATTCTTTTCCTGATGAGGCAGGTAAGCCCATCGCTCTGACCTCAGGTGCATCGTAGTGTCTTTCCAGAGAGAACTCTACTCCTCTCAGACCACTGAGCCACCCTCTCCCTCACCCCTTTCCAACTCTGCGCCCTGCCTTCCCCCTAGCAGTTCCCAGTCCCTGCTCCTGTGCTATGTAGGTTCATGGTCCAGGTGGAGGCCAGCTCAGACACAGGTGTGGGCCCTCACTGGGCAGGCCTGGCCGGGCCAAGCTCCCTGAACCCTCATGCATTAGCAGCAGCAGTTGGCAGAGAAGCAGCAGAAGGCTCCCCCAGCACCTGAAGGCCCTGCCATCTCACAGGACGCTCAGGCCCAGCTCCCAGGGGCCACCCCGCAATGCCAGAAGAGTCTTCAAAGTCCCTCAGAGCAAGCCCATCCACCCTGCAATCCTGAAGGTGAGCTGGAATGAACAAGATGGGCCAGAATCAGGGACAGAAAAGGGAGGGGCACACTTAATTTAATTTCAAAGTGAATTTCACAGAAGCCATGATAGTGGGATGGTTCCACCTAAATAAGATAATAAGAGGGTGCTTTGAGGGCATTGTGTAGTTGAGCACCCAAGGGTCTTCTCTATACTTATTATCACTATTAATTTCAAAGAACTCTGGATGTAGATAGAACTGAATGTAGATCAAACTCTATTCTCTGTTAACATTGACCAGTTGCTTGACCTCTGTGAGTTTCGGTTTTTTCATTTTGTTAAGAAGGACTAAAAACACCTGTCTCATATCACCTCATTGGGAAAGGTTATTATCATTATTATTTAAATCAGGCCTAGGTGATGTTATTAATATAAAATAATATCACATTTTATAATGGTAATGGTAAGCTATCTAAGTAAAATTTTATTTTATCTTGATACTGGGGATTGAACCCAGGCACACTTAACCACTGAGCCACATCCCCAAATCTATTTTATGTTTTATTTAGAGACAGAGTCTTGCTGAGTCACTTAGGGCCTTGCTAAGTTGCTGAGGCTGGCTTTGAACTTGCGATCCTCCTTCCTCAGCCTCCCAAGCTGCTGGGATTGCAGGGGTGCCCCACCATACTGGCAACTTTTTATCTTTTTAAACATTCCTCTCATCTTTTCTCAATTTAAGCCTATCGACAGTCCCTTTCAAAGATTCTGTGGTATCTGGGGATGCTTCCGGGGGCTCAGCACGTGTTTATGGCTCCACCTGTGCTTCTCCTGCTCCTCTGGCTCTGGGCGGGGCTGGTGCTGTTGGTGAACCAGCCCTGGCCCCTCCTGGTCCTGCTCCCCCAACTTCCCCATGCAGCAGCTCCACCTGCTGTCAACTCAGGCTGAAGTCCATCCTGCAGTTGACTGTAGCTGCACCACAATCCCAGTGCTCCCCTGTGTGCTCCCCTTCCTCAGGCCTCTGCTGAGAGGGAAACGCTCCCCTTCCTCGGGATCAGTGATTATCTTTTGGGATAGAACCCTGGGCCCAGCACAGACAAAGCATAAGCTGTAGGACTGAGCTACACCGCAGCCCAGGCCAGCACTTCCCCAGTGTCCCAGAGCCAAGTTGCCTAAGCCCTGAAGTATTGTAATTCTTGTCATTTTAGAGATTCAAAGTGGGTCCAGGGAATAATCACCCTATTGTACCCCAAAACCCTCATCTCCGTTTGGAGATGACTTTAGAGTGGAGTACAGACAACTCAGACTCCATCTTTTCCCGGGTGGTTTTTGTCAAAAGGTGCTGCAAACCCTCCTTGCCGTTTTCCTTCCGTTACCCCTCACACCCCAACTCACCAGGCTCTAGTCATTGAGGTGGTAGAAATTCTTTCCCCAGAAGTCTCCCCAATTTCCATCTAAGTCATTCGATTTCAGTAATCCTCTACAGAAGTAACAAGGAAGAAGGAAAAGAATCTCAGAACTTGAGTCTCAGGTCTGACTCAGCCAAGACAGCCTTGTTATGTAAAATACCAAAAATTATTTGTGCACTTTAGGGAAAGAGTCAGGGTGATATCGATGTTTTGGGACAAGCGCCCAAGAAAAATCAAAGAGATCAGTCTATCCTGGTAATTTTGTTATTAAACTCAGTAGAAAAAAAATATCTCTATATAATACTAGATTTCCTCTGTCATTTAAAGTCTTTATAGTTCTTTCACTTCTTTGTTTAAAATGTGAATAAGCTTGTTATTTGGCATTTTCATGCACTCTAGGCAAAACCCAGAGAGAACAGGCGATGATTATGTAGTGTGGAAAACGCTGTGGTGGTGGGATCATATAAGGAAAGAGTTTCAGGAATTCAGAGAAGGGGCACAGAATCCAGACTTGGGAAACAGGAAATAACCTAGATTCGAAGCCCAAACTGGGAGCCCATGAAGGGGGAACTGCCCAAGTGAGCCCCGAAGAGTGGGACACAAACTAAAATTCAAAGATTATATTCTGCAAGTGAAAGTAAGGTTGCAGACTCATGCTCATGGACAGACCAAGTGGACAGAGTAAAGCAACCACCAAGGAGACAATAGGGAATGGCGGGGACTGTGGCAGTCTGGGAACAGCTGCCCTGCTAGTTTATAGCAGGGACTATGCTGGTCTAGCTTACTCCTACGACCCTTGGCAGAGAGCAGGGGTCACTGAATGTTTGTTGGATCAAGACTGACTCTGGGCACTGGAGATTCAAAAACAGCACCTCTCATAAATAGGTACGAAATGAACATGTGCTAAGCCACTGTGAGGAAAAGGCGCAGTTACTATTAGTCTGAGATTTGCCCATTTAGGCAAAACCCAGATAGATCTATTTCAGAGTCCACGGTATCAGAATCTCAGACCTGGGAGAGTCAAAATATGGCTCATGGAGAAAAGCTCTTGAGAACCCACTCTTCAAACATAGCCTCCACCCCAGCACTCGGGGCAGCCTATTTTATTCTTAGGACACAAATGTCAAGCTCAGGAACTCTGATCTTGGAAATCTCAGTCCTCCTATCTCAGTAGGAGAGAGGGATGTTTCTTATGAGTGTTTCTATGGCTCACAAAAATCACTTAACACAAATGCATGTACCCGTGCATACTTGGGTGTCCTTCAGAACTGCCAATCATGTCATACATCCAACAGCAAGTGGACATTATCAAGTCTGAACCAGAGTGAGCCTGTTTCTAGAATTTCCTGTGTACAGGCACTGTTCTAAACACTTTGCATGTATGAACTCACATTAACAACATTCCTGTGCTGTAGGTACTGTTATGATGCCTCTTCTATAGAAGAAGGCAGAAAAGCTTAATGACATTCTGCATCTCACCTCCAGGCTCATAGAGCTACTAAGTGGCAGCTCAGGAGTTCAAAGACAGGTAAGCTGTCTCCAGCCTGTGCTCTTAATGGGCTGCTGTGGGATCCTGCCCCTGTCTCAACACTGGCAAACACCTATGAAAGGATGTGACTATCTCTAAAGGTTCCCAGCCTATGTCAAAACAGCAGCAAAATATAGTGTGTACTCAGGACTTCCAAGAGATAATTCTGACTATGCCATGTCCCCCGACATGACAACTTTTGAATGCTTTATAACTTACCTCTTGCATGTGTTGCCTCTCCACTATGATGCTGCAGAAGGCTGATAAATACCTGAATTCAAGGTCCTCAAGGCCTTAAGGCTGGACTCTGTCTAGTACTGAGGGTGCCACTGAACATCAGTCTAGCAAGCACTGAGCCAACATTTATCCTACACTATGGGCATCAAGAACAGGAAAAGCACACAATAGAATGAAAACCCAGAGGAACCAAGTGCATGGTATGAAGACAGGGCTGGCAGGATGACCCTCACCTAGAGTCAGATGACCAGCGCTTGTTCCAATAGGTTTTCAGGCAATTCTGTCCCTGATTTCTGAGCTGCCACAGACAGTACAGGTGATGTGCTTTCTGCAAAGCCCAGAATGCATTCATTCCCGAGTCCAGGGAACACCAACTTAGGTTACTGCCTGCATTTTGCAGAGAGGATGAGAGCGAATGTTGAGCAAGTAGTGCTAGAGCATGGCTTGGGGCTGGTTTTAGTCAGCTTTTTTTGCTGCTGTAAGTAAAAGACCCAAACAGAAAAATTATAGAAGAGGAAAAGTTTACTTAAGGGCTCACAGTTTTAGAGGTCTCAGTCCATAGACAGCCAGATCCATTCCTCAGGGCTTGAGTTGAGGCTGAACATCATGGTGGAGTGTGTGGAGGATAGAAGCAGCTCTTGTGATGATCAGAAAGCAGAGAGAGAGACTCTACTTTCCTAATACAAATATATACCCCAGCTGGGTGTGGTGGTGGTGCTCACCTTTAATCCCACAGCTCGGGAGGTTGAGAGTTCAAATCCAGCCTCTGCAATTTAGCAAGGCACTAAGCAACTCAGTGAGACCCAGTCTCTCTATATATACACCCCAAAGCCATGCCCCCAATGGCCCCCTTTCTCCAGTCACACCCACCAGCCTTCAATTGCCACTCAATTAATCCCACAAGGTGATTAATTCACCCACTAAGGCTCTCCTAACCAGTCATTTCTCCTCTGAACTTTCTGGCACTGTCTTCCATGGGAGCTTTTGGGAGATACCTCACATCCCAACCATAATAGGGATTTTCTTACTGGTTCCTAACCCTGATTTTATTTTGCTTTTCCACTTTTTCTAGAGCTGATTATAGAGCCAGAAGCGAGTAGCATGTTCTCAGGGCCCCTGCTCTGCACAATTCAGGGGTGCCATATAGTTGGCTGTATGGAGAGCGCCCCTTACAAACCTACAGACCCTTGCTCCCCTGAACCCACCTCATCCATCCTAATGGGAAACCAAGGCCTTCTGGGGGTCCCTTGCCACCTTAGAACTAACTCTGGGGCCAGAGGCTCCCAGGAGCCCTGCTTCTTCCTTTCTGGCCAGTCTTTTCTGTAACTATGCTCACTCTCGTCATGCTCCCACTGCCAAGTTCACCTTCCTGTTTGAAGCCAGTCCAACCTCAATTAAAGGATTCAGTTACAACTGGTGGAGGTGGGGCTAATGGCAGAGAAATTCAGGGGAAAAAAAACTAGGGCAGAAGATGCCAGAAAAGAGGCTAATTCAGCAAACATCTCCCTGCCCCCTCTTCCCATAGTCCTTCAGTCTTCACGTTAATATGATGTAGGGCCGTTGACATTGCCCTGCTTTACAGATGAGAAAACCCAGGGCAGAGAGATCAATTAACTTGCTCAAGTACACAGGAAGGAAGAGCTATTGGACCTGTTAATCTGACACCTGGGTGCTGGCTCTTACCCACCAGGCTGAGCGTGGAGGGGGAGGTCTGGACTGGGCAGAGGGGGGCTGTGGGCAGCAAGCAGAGGCTCCCTGTGACACCACCCTCCTCTGTTCCCTAGCCGAGCAGCTCACTGTAGTGGGAAAGATTTCCTTCAACCCCAAAGACGTGCTGGGACGCGGGGCAGGTGGGACATTCGTTTTCCGGTAAGTGGCAGGCAGGCAGGCAGGAGCCAGGCTACAGACATGGCACTGACAGCCTTTGGCCGTTACCCCTTAGGGAACCATTCTTTCAAGACTCCTCAGGGTGGGGACAGGCTGACCCCTCTGCTCACAAGTTCCTACCCTTTCCTTTATCTGCTCTCTCGGAACCCCTGTCCCCTTACCCACCTCCCAGGGGACAGTTTGAGGGTCGGGCGGTGGCTGTCAAACGGCTACTCCGAGAGTGCTTCAGTCTGGTTCGGCGGGAGGTCCAGCTGCTGCAGGAGTCCGACAGGCACCCCAATGTGCTCCGCTACTTCTGCACGGAGCGGAGCCCCCAGTTCCACTATATTGCCCTGGAACTCTGCCAGGCCTCCTTGCAGGAGGTGAGCTGGGAGCTCAGGGAGGGCAGGGGGCCCGGGGCTGCATAGTGACACTTTGCCCTTCCATGTTGCTCAGTACGTAGAGAACCCCGACCTTGGCCGCTGGGGCCTGGAGCCCACAATGGTACTCCAGCAGCTGACATCTGGCCTGGCACACCTGCACTCCTTACACATAGGTAACCGCTGGCCCTGCCTCCTGTCCCCAACTTCCACCTGCTCTTCTCCTGCACCAGCCACCAGCTCCCTCTCCGTCCCACCCCTGTAGTGCACCGTGACCTGAAGCCAGGCAACATTCTCCTCACCGGGCCTGACAGCCAGGGTCAAGGCAGGGTGGTCCTCTCGGATTTCGGCCTCTGCAAGAAGCTGCCTGCTGGCCGATGCAGCTTCAGCCTCCGCTCGGGCATCCCTGGCACCGAAGGCTGGATGGCACCCGAGCTCCTACAACTCCTGCCCCCAAACAGCCCTGTGAGTCTTCCCGCCTGCCCCAGGCCACAGGGCTCCCTGTGTCCCAGCTGCCTTCCAGAAGAGGCCCTACCCCACTTGCTGGGTGATCCACTCCTCCAGGCCTCTGCTGCTTGATCTGTGCAGAAGGGCTCTTCTTACCTCGGGCAGTGGCTCTCCAACAGAGGCCATTTTGCTGCCCAGGGGATCTTAAGATAAAAACCAATCTTCACTGATTCACAATTACTGGGGAACTGACGTGGGAAGAAAACGCCCAGATCCCCGTACCCAGTGGATCTGATCTAATTAGCTGGGGTAGAGCCTCCTGGGTGTTGTAAGGTAGAGTTGGGTCCACAATCACTGATGTGGAGGGTTCTGGGGAGCATCTGCTGATGTAGATGAAGCACAGAACAGCTTCTGACCCCATGGGCACTGGAATTGGGGACCCCAGGGTTATAGATTTTGGAGTCCAGTGTGTGGGTGGAAGTTGAATTATTAGGTGTAGATAACACCAAAGGACAGTCACTAGGGAAATCACTCCCACTCCCCAAAATCAGGAGAAAGCTCCAAGTGGTGGACTGGAGATCCAAGGACCAATACACTAATGTTGCAAGCCCAGAAAGTTTATTTTTTTTAATTACTGGCCACTATTTTGACATTGGGGGAAATCCCGCATAAAAATCTGAATTTGGGATTCTCTTGGGGGGAAAAAAAAATCAGCTCTGCCATCCTAGCAGAGTCCCCTGGTGACGATTAGCGAGAGCCGGGGATCAGCTGGCAGGGTCAGGGCCCATGCCAGGTCTCCAATCCTTACCGTCGCCTACTGTAGCCTCTGTCGTGCTCCCTGTGCACCTGCAGGAAACAGCAGGAAAACCCAAACCAGAAACTCTGCTGGGTCACAGGTGCCGGGTGAAGAGCCAGGGGGGTCTTCAACAGAGAGAGGGGAGGAGACCTAAAGCCAAGAGATGCAGCCCAGGACATGGCCAGGAGATGTAGTCTGAACCAACCCCTGAGGGGATTTAGCCAGGGTGACTTCCTCCTCCTCATTCCTGTCTCTCTGGCCCCCCAGACCACTGCTGTGGACATCTTCTCTACAGGCTGTGTGTTCTATTATGTGCTTTCTGGTGGCAGCCACCCCTTTGGGGACAGTCTTTACCGCCAGGCCAACATCCTCGCAGGAGCTACCTGTCTGACTCACCTGGAAGAGGAGGCCCACGGTGAGGGAGAGCTGGGCCCAGCAGGGAGGGAGGAAGGGGGCACGAGGCTGGGTAGGCCTGAACCATCCTTCCTTCTGCCCCCCAGACAAGGTGGTGGCCCGGGACCTGGTGGAAGCCATGTTGAGCCCTGTGCCGCAGGCCCGCCCTTCCGCTCCACAGGTGCTGGCCCACCCCCTCTTTTGGAGCAGAGCCAAGCAGCTCCAGTTTTTCCAGGTCAGAGGGAAACCTTGGGAATGGCCCCCCAGAAGTCCTAAGGTTGGGTCCTGATCAACATGGGAAGTCAGTGTAACTACCTGTTCCATCGTGCCCAGATATTCCATTCCATTGTGTGACCCTGACCAAGGGGACTGTGCCTCTGAACCCATTTGCTCCTCTATACAATGGACACATGGCACCTGCCTTCTGGGTAGGTGGGAAATAGAGGCGCAGCCCAGCAAATCCAAGGTCCCCAAGAGACAATGGTCCTGACCACCCTAAACCAAGAGGCTCTCTGCTTCACATTCCTACCACGTGACACACTCCTGGCCTTGGGGCGGCTGGCACTGGTCACAAGGCTCAGGAGCTCTGTGGGTCCTAGGACGTCAGTGACTGGCTGGAGAAGGAGTCTGGGCAAGGGCCCCTGGTGACGGCGCTGGAGGCGGGCAGCTACAAGGTGGTCCGGCACAACTGGCACAAGCACATCTCCATGCCACTACAGACAGGCAAGGCACACACCTGGGGTGGCCAAGGGGAACCCATGGGGGGGCAACTCCAGAGCCCGTTTCTCTGCCAACAGATCTGAGAAGGTTCCGGTCATATAAGGGGACATCGGTGCGAGACCTGCTGCGGGCCATGAGGAACAAGGTATGTTCTGGGTCTGGGTCTGGGTGGGGCCTGGATCCTGGAAGGCTGGCCACAGCTGAGCCAGGGTCCCCTGCTCTATCACCCCCAGAAGCACCACTACAGGGAGCTGCCGGCCGAGGTGCAGCAAGCCCTGGGCCAGGTCCCCGACAGCTTTGTGCAGTACTTCACCCAGCGATTCCCGCGGCTGCTCCTCCATACCCACCGCACCATGAGGAGCTGCGCCTCGGAGAGCCTCTTCCTGACCTACTACCCGCCAGCTGCAGAGGCCAGGGAGCCATGCCAGGAGCCACGGGGAGCTGAGCCAGCAGAGGGCACAGAGACAGCCTCCACCCGAGCGGGCAAGGGAGTTGGGCCTGCAGCTGAGGCCGAGGGGGAGGCCCATCTCAGTCCCTGAGGAAACCGGGGAGGCCTGGCAGCCTGGGTCTGCTGGAGCAGAGACCTTCCCTGGAGCCCGGGCCCCTCAGGGAACAAAGCCACAGTGAAGACTCACATGTGTTTAATGCGTATAAAGCCGAGGAAGGGGCAGTCCCGATTCAATAGAAATTCTCTGTGCAATTCATCTGGTGGGCTGCGTGAGAGCAAGAGCCAGAACCCACACCCCCACATGTACAAAAATAACTTACACACCCCACCTGCAGGGCCACGGAGCTCCTGCCCAGCCCCCAGGGCTGGGGCACACTACAGAAACTGCCCACGGGAGCCAACCAGCGCAGGCCCGGGAGCTGGTGGGAGGGAGGAGGCGCCAGTCCAGAGGGGGAGGCCTAGGAGGAGGCCTTGAGGCGATGGCAGGCCGAGCGCGAGCCCAGGAGTTTGTCCACCATGGTGCGGGCGTAGCGCAGCCGGCTGGCCAGCTCCTTGCAGCAGCCGAACTCCTCCAGCAGGCTCAGGCGGTACGTGCGGAAGTCCCGCTTCTCGTCAATGTAGGTCACGGCTGCCATCAGCGGACACAGGATGAGTTTGGTATGGTCCTGGAAGGAGGGAAGGGAGGCAGGAGATCCCAGCTGCCAGTATGCGCAGGGGACGCGGGAGGAAGGCACCGCAGCTGGGGGAGGGGGAGCGCCGCTTGGCTCCCCGCCCAGTGCCTGCAGCCGAGGACCCACACCCACACTCCCGCCCCCCCATCCACCCTTCTCCTGCCCCCCCATCCACCCTTCTCCTGCCCCGTCTACCTGGAAGAAGTTGATCTGCACGGTGCCATTGCTCAGGTGCAAGATGATGGCGCTGCGGGTGCGGAACCAGGTGCGCAGGTAGGGGAGTCGCGCCAGCTCGTCACCCTCGCGTGGCGTGATGTTGGCGCCCGCCTTCAGCAAGTGTTCGCTCATGTAATTGCGGAAGTACTTCAGGAGGGTGATCTGGAGGGAGAGTGGGGAATGGCTTCTGTGGGCTTCTGAGATTGGAGCCCGTGCTGCGCAGTGGCCCACCCCCGGCCACCCACAGCCGCCAGGGGCTCAGCTCACCTTCTTCATCAAGGAGTTGGGGTGGGAGCTCACGGAGAGGTAGGACTCGGTGCCGTCGCGCTCTATGTATTGCAGGCTGTCCCCGTCGTCGTATAGGATGAGGCGCGTGGAGTCATTGAAGAGCACCCCTACACTGTTGTCACAGAGCTGATACCCTAGAGGCAGGGGGAGGGAGACCTCAGAAAGGGGAAGGAAGGGGGGGGGGGGGACTGGCGACTGGAACTGGGAGGCCTGGGGTGCAGATAGGAGAGTTCTGAGAGAAGGGGACCTGGGAGCCACAAAAGACCAGAGCTTGTAACAACTTCAAGGGTCACTGGCTGACCTGAGCCACCCCCCATTCTGGGAGAGACCTACCGAGGCCATACTTGTCGGAGTAGTCCACCCACTTGCTGACCCAGAAGATGGGGATGCAAGCGGGATCCTCTGCCTCCTCTGGAACGAACAGACAGACCACTGATCAGAACCAGTCTCCTCCCGGCCCACTCAGAGCCCACACCCAGGAAGCTTGCTGAGCACCCACTGCTCTGTCCAAGGGCCTGGGGCCCCAGAGAAGGCACAGCTGGGCCTCTGCCACCAACGAGCCAAAACGAGTGGCAGCACACACATCTAACTGGCAAGTTATCACTCAATGCACCAAGTTCCACCCCTCCAGCAGGCTGGCGTTCACAGAAAGCCTACTGCATGCCAGGAGTTGGGGTGGGAACTCGTGGAGATAGTTAGCAAGATACAAAACCCTGGCCCTTGAGCTCACATGTGAGGGGGGGGGGGGGGGGGGAGATTAATCAAAACACATATGGACAAACTCCATAAGTTATTTCTCTCATGGTAAAAGTCAGTGCCTAACTGGATTAAAAAACTGAGCAAATACACAATTCTGAATATATCAGATTGTTACGTTCAGTGCATGAAACAATTATTTTAAACGCACTAAACAAAGCAAGGAATTTTGGAATATGCTGGGTGATACGGTTATGGATAACTAACTACCCAGCAGGTAAAGGGTTGAGAGGGCCAGCAGTGAGTGCCAGGAGATGTTTGTGGAGCAGACATTGGAAGAAGCAAGAGTTCGAGGCTCGCAGATGTGGGGAGGAAGCGCATTCCAGGGGCAGGAGCAGAAGGAACTAAAGCCCTGGGGCTGGGTCTCGGTGTCTGAAGGGAAGGCTGGGATCTACTGAGCAAGTGAACAGCATGCACAGACGTACAGAGGTGACACGCTGCCATGCTAGAAGGTGGAATACTTGTAGTGCAAGAAAAAGGCCACCGGGGCCCCACCCTGAGGGCCTTGGGTGTCAGGCTCACTCATTTAAATTTTGATCAACAGGAAACAGAAACCAAAGGGAGTCAGACACTATTGACTTTCCCTGCTCCTCCAGGTGGCCCCAGCACCCCCTCCCCCACCCGGGCCCTGCAGTACTCACCTTGCCTCACCAGCCCTCGCTCTGCGGGCTTGGAGGCATTGACACTGTGTAACTGCTGCAGCATGTCACTGAGGTGGCATTCAACCGCCTCATTCGTCTCCCGAACCACTGGTTCCTCTTTTTCCCGAGGACGATCAGGCTGGGGCTTCTCCGTGCCTAGGAAGGTGACAGTCATTAGCTGGGCACAAAATGGGGTGTGTCGTAGGCGGGGACACAGGACCCCCATCACAGCTGGCACTCTTCCCAGAGAAGAGCTTGTAGCTACCACTGCTTTGGGGAAACTGAGTCAGTATTCGATTATCAGAGCAGCTGCTGTGCTCCTGTGACAGCACCTGGTGCTCACCAGGAGGCCACAGAGCTTCAGGCACTCAGGCCTCTGACCCAACAGCGTGGCCTCGCAGGACATCACCTGTCACCTAGGGAGACAGCCTGAAATCACCTACAGCTCAGAGCTGCTGCGCTTTAGGCAAAGAATTAAAGGCATCCTCGGTATCCAGAAAGACCCAGGACTGAGAACTCATAATTCATGGATTTAGTAGGCCACTTAATGAAAATGTAAGATTTTTCCACCTTAAAATTTGTTTTATACAATACTGAATTTATATAATGCTGAAACTAGATACATATGAAATGTTAAAATGTAATATTAATTCTTCTCAGGAGTGAATAGTAAGCCCAAATTTAAAACAAATGTGCAATCCAAAAAAAAAATCGTTTTATATGCCTAGATGTAACCAAAGAATCTGAAAAGATGCATAATAAATTCACATTGGTTACACCTGGGCAGGAGAAACATGGATGATTTTCACTGTCTTGAATGCCTAAATGTTTAATCCCCCTCTTCCCAACATGTGCTAGTTCTCCTTGTATAAGTGAAAATTTTCTTAAAGTAAGTTTTCAAAAATAGCAAAATAAATAAATAAAACACTATGCTAGTATGGGGACTTCAGTGTGAAATAATAAGAATTAGAGATTGGATTTAAAAACCTTAGGGAAGGGGCTGAGGATGTGGCTCAAGCAGTAGCGCACTCGCCTGGCATGTGTGTGGCCCGGGTTCGATCCTCAGCACCATTTACAAAACGAAGATGTTGTGTCCGCCGAAAACTAAAAAATAAATATTAAAAAAATTCTCTCTCTCAAAAAAAAAAAACCCTAGGGAAGGGGCTGGGGTTGTGGCTCAGTGGTAGAGCACTTGCCTAGCATGTATGAGGCACTGGGTTCAATTCTTAGCACCACAATTAAATAAATGTCCATCAACAACTAGTAAAATATTTTTTTAAAAACCCTAATGAACAAGTGAGGGGCAGTGTGTAGAACAGATAAACAAATGTTAATAACCACTGAAAAGCAGTGAGAATACATGGAAATTCATCATAGTTCTCTATGTTTGGGTAAGTAAGTTTTTTTTTTTTTTTAATGCTAAATATTTCAAATTAAAAACAAAAGAAAAAGTGATCCTTAAAATAATAGTATGCTAGCCCAAAGAATAAGATAGATCCATGAGTCCATTGCTAATATGAATAACTACGTAAATGGAAGAGAATGGACAACACTTCCTTGTAGAAGAAATCCAATCAATGATATGTAAAAGGCAAGGGGGGGGGGGGAAAAAAAAAAAAAAAAAAAACAAAACAGCATTTGCATACCTGAGTATTAGCCTGCGCAAAGCCCTAGGATCAATCCCCAGCATCACAAAAAGAAAAAAATATACACAGTAATAGTTGCTGCAGGTATAATCAACACATGGAGGCAAAAACTAATGGGCAACGGTTTGAGGAGAAAGAAGATAGTCTCAGAATAGTTCCCTGCAAGATACTTATTGATGATACAAGGAAAATAGTAACTTTGCAATGAAGAAACCCATCAGATGCCCCCTTAACCAAGTGGTCAAGATTAACATCACCAATTTAAAAAAAAAAAAAAAAAAAAGCTGGGCCCAGTGGCACACACTTGTAATCTTAGTGGCTCAGGAGGCCGAGGCAGGAGGATCCCGAGCTCAAAGCCAGCCTCAGCAATTTAGTGAGGCCCTCAAGCAACTAAGTGAGACCCTGTCTCTAAATAAAATACAAAATAGGGCTGGGACATGGCTAAGTGGTCGAATGCCCCGAGTTCAATCCCCGGTACCAAAAAAAACAAAATCCAACATGAGATAGAACACAGAGAGGAACATATCAGTTCTGCAGTAGTCTTGCCAAAAATGCACAACTCCAATGTAAGCTCAAGGAAGCATCGAAATCAAATTAGGGGTCGGGGAGAGCTCTATTAGTCACTTAAATAGTAAGTATAATCTTGAAAAACAAATTGAAAGATATTCTAGGAAATAACCTCACCAGTGCTTTTCAAAGGGCCATGACCACGAAACACAGACTGAGGCTGTGTCCTAGGTTGGAGGAGACTAAGGCAACATGACAGCTAAATGCCAAGTGGGGTCCTGAATGGCATAGAACAGGGGTATGATGGGAAAAAACTGATGGGTCTGAGGAAAGGCTGATATTTGTTGTATTGTCCCAAAGCTAATGTCTCTCTTTTTTTTTTAAGGGGGGGAGGGGGGAGGGGGGAGGGGGAGAGAGGAGAGAGAATATCTTTTTTTTTGGTAGATGGACACAACACAATGCCTTTTTAAAAAAAATTTTTTTTTTATGTGGTACTGAGAATCGAACCTGGGTCCCACCTGTGCTAGGCGAGCGCTCTACCACTGAGCCACAATCCCAGCCCTAATGTCTCAGTTTTGATAACTGTTTCATGGTTAAGCGAGAGTCTGACATTTGAGGAAACTGGATGAAGAGCTTATGGGACTCTGCTTTATTTTATTTTGTAACTCTTCTACGTAGGCCCCAAATTAATTCCAAAAAGTTTTAAAAGCAAGCAAGTAATCCCTAAAAGCCAAAAACTGAAATAGTTCTAAGTTCTGTATTAAAATGGGGACATATCCACACAGAGAAACAAAGTATTTCAAGCTACTTTTAAAAAAATATATTTCACAAAGGATAGTTTAAGCAAAGCAGAACTTTAGAACATTGGAACCACTTTATATATGTCAAAATTTTGGACTATGTTAAGATTTTCAACTTAAGAAATACATCCAAGTATAAAAATCAGAAGTAAAAAAATATATATATAACACATTTCTGTCTGAATCAGACACTTAAATTAACCAAAGAAAAACATTAACTCCAAAGTGGAGAAGACAATTGTTATAAGATGACATTTGGGGGTGGGGGGCAACATTGGATCCATGTTCAAAGGCTTGAACTTGATAATGGTGTCTGCCAGGTACCGTGGTTAGTAAAAGACGCTGTTTTTAGGAACTATACAGTTAACTATTAAGGGCAATGGACAAGATGTATATGAGATATTTTCAAATGGCTCAGAAAAAAAAGGAAAAGATACATGGAGAGAGACTGACAAAGCAAATATGGAAAAAATGTAATTGGTGGATCTGGGGAAAAGGAAAGTATAGGAGTTAGTCCTATCTACCACCTTTTCATAAGCTTGATCAATATAAAAATAAAACATTAAGATGATAAAATCAGAAATATCATAAACACGAGGTTTCCCCTCAAATATGCATTTCCTAACTCCACCCTCTGACAGGACCCAGCAAAGACAGTCTCTGTGATGGCGTGTGGTTTTGTAAGAAAATGTCCATCCTTTTAAAGAGATGCATACTGAAGTTTTAGGGGTAAATGGTGGAGTGCTAGAGTTCACTTTAAAAACACTTCAAAGGAACCACCAAGTAGATGAAGCAAATGTTTCAAGATCTGTGCGAGTGTTAAGTGGTGGGTCCAGGGGGTCTACTGCATTATGTCCTAGGTGTATATGTGAAATGTTTCATATTTTCTCAATGAACCATGCAAGAGTGATCATGGGAACTTTTCAAAGTGATCCAAAAGTATTTTTCAGGCTTTTGGGCTCAGCCATTTTCTTCTTGAGCCCAACACCCTGATCCAGCCAAGTTATGTAAGGTCTGCTTTCCTGATAGAGCCCTGGGGCAGGAGGACACCAGGTCCTTCTGGATCGGGGCCAGTCCCATGCCACACCTGAGGTCTGGAGGCCAAACAGCAAGCTGTCTATGCCTCTAAATCCTGGGCTCTGCTGGATCACCCTGACCCGTGCTTACCTTTATTGAGGACCGTGAGAGGCTTCCGGTTACTGGGGTCAAGGCTGCTGGGAGCAATTGAAAACCTTGGTGGGATGGTGAGGCATGTGATGGGGAGACGGACAGGGATGTAGCCAGAAGTGAAGAACTCGTCATCAAGCAGCTCGTGAATGGTGGGGCGGGCAGTGGGATCCGTCTGGAGCATCTTTTGGATGAGGGAGGCAGCCACAGGGTTGATGTGCTGGAACAGAGAGCGCAAGCCTTAAGCAGGAGGTGACAGGGACCCCACATGCAGCACTGCCACGGTGGCCTGCAGGACCAGCCCACATGTAGACAGGCCCCTAGTCTCAAGGATGCCACAGGTCAGCAGTCCAGAGCAATGCCAAGTTCTCCACGATCAGCTTTGCTGACTCAACAAGGGTGGGCTTAAGTGGCGAGTATGACTGTTTCCTTCCCCTTGAGACTCAGGGTTAACTTGGCATAATTTCTCTCCTGAACTTGCCCTTGTACACTTACAGTTGTTCACCACTAGAGGAGCACTGAAGAACAGGCCTTGAGGTTCGAAGACCTGCAGTTAGATCTCCGCTTTGGCCTTTAGTACCAGCTTGACAAGTAATCTGGACTTTCTAATGCCTTTGCATCTGCATCTGTAAAATGGGAACACAGCCCCAAGCCTGGAGCCCCACTGAGAACATTCAATGGGATACAATCTAGCACAGGGCCAATGCACAGGAAGGGCTTAGCACTGATTCTGCACTTACTATGTACCAGGAAAGTGTTCCAAGTGCTTCCTGTCTATTAACTCATTTGCCCTCACAAAAACATCTGGGCGTAGGGATGAGGACACTGAGGCACACAGAGGCACAAGAGGCACAGAGAGGGTGAGGGCCTTGCCTAAGAATCCACACCCAGCAAGAGGTGGAGATGTACTCCCACCCATGGAATCTGGTCACCTTGGGTCATTCCTTGCTGTCTTTCTAATAATGAACTCTTTGTGACTCAACAAGGGTGGACTTAAGTGGCGAGTACGATTGTTTGAAGACAGCAAGTCACCAGTTGAGGACACCAAATGGCTAGGTGCCAGCCTCTGAAACAGGCTATTCCTTTAAACAAACTTGTGCCAGTGGCTGTGAAAATTGGACACCATTTTGCCATTGCAAAGCCCTTGGATTCACAGTGGCTCACAATTCAGTGAGTGCTTACTGGATGCAAGTACTCTTCGAGAAGCTCCAGAGGCAGTCCCTCCACCTTATTAATGGGAAACTCAGCAGAGTCAAGACACTGGCCAGGCGTGACCTGGATGCTAAGCAGAAGAGTCCATTTGAATTAAGCTGGTCCATTTCCAAAGCATGAACCCATCTGCCTGATTGTCTCCTGTAATTTTTCCCTTCTTTTTACATAGCTTTTCTACCTACTTTCAATAATCTACAAACTTCCACTAGAAAAAAAATGCTTACATGTACATATGCATCAAGTTCTAGAGGCAACATCAGATAAACATCCCCTATAGCTCCGTGGACCCCTAGACCTATCTCTGTCCTCAGTATAGAGTTGGGCTCAGTAAGTAGCTTCTGGAGAAAAATAAATTTAATTTTAAAGTGTTGTTAGTCACCTTGGGAATACTGTATTCATTCTTCTTGATCCGGAGGTAGGTCTCTTTTAGGCAAGATGTCTCAAAAGGTGGTTTGCCCACTAACAAGGTATACCTGTAAGCACAAGGTCAGATTCAGCACAAGCCTCTCAGGCAAAAATGCAAATGCAGAAGTAGCCTCAGGGCCAGAGGGAAGAGTAGGCATCCTTTGGACACACTCTGCCTAGCAGCCCCGAGATCAATAGCTAGGATGAGCCTTCAGTAGAATACAAGTGACCAGACCTGGATTCCAGTGGGCCAGGGATTGTTCCCCTCTGGCCTGCAGTGATCCAGGGCCTGAGGCTGCAGGCCATCTACATCAGGTCAGTAGGTGGACTACCTGCTCCTGTAGGAGCAGCTCCATGGTCAGTAACTCTGTACTGAAGGTTTGTCGGTTTTATTTGAAAAAAAGTTCCATTGCCAAGAAGTCTGAAAGCCATTGCTACAACCGACGTCTAACCCCCCAGTACCCAGGCCAACAACGACACCACAGATTACACCTAAAAAAGCCCAGGCCTCTGCTCACCACTAACCCTTCTCTGCTAGGCTTGATCCAGATATCAAGGCACCTCCCACCCCGTGCTGATCAGAGTTTCTAAAACTTCACTGTGCAAAGGAAACATCCAAATTCCAATTTGGTAGGTATAGTCTGGGTCCTGAGATTCTTCATTTCTAACAAGCTTTTCAGCTGATGCTGCTGTTGCTGCTGGTCTCAGAGGCCACGGCAAGGTTGTGGAGGCCTCCAGCCCCTTCCCTGAAGCTAAGGCCCAGGCCATGGGAATCCAAGTGATGAGGAAAGCTATGGTAAGGTGTTGTCTGGGGGCAGCCTTTCCACAAGGCAGAGGGATCCACAGGATGAATGCAGCCAGGCGGATGTCTCAAAGGGCTCCTTCTGAGGCCAAATAGGGCCGGAGCCAACTCCCAACTTACATGATACACCCAATGGACCACACATCCACCTCGAAACTGTGCCCCTTCTTGCTCAGCACCTCGGGAGCTATGTAATTAGGAGTCCCGCACAGGGTCTTCTTCCGCTCCCCATCATATTCCACCTTGGTTGCCAGTCCAAAATCCCCTGGGACAGAGGGAGGAAGATGGGGTACTCAGATGCTAGCCTCACTGCAGACAGCTGGCTCAGGCTTGCCCACAAGCAACAGAGTCATTTGATCCCACAAGCCTCTGTTCCTCCTGGGCAGGAAGGCTTACCCAGAATCCCCCTTGCACTGGCCACAGGGACCAGGGCCTCCTGCTGACCTTTCTCAACCCTCCTCTTAGAAAAGGGAATTGACAGAACAATCCTTTGGGGATTAAAGGAATACCCTTTAAGACAGCTGCTTAGCAAGTTGGTAAGGCAGTGACAGGGAGAGGTGGGGACAGGGGCAAGCCAGAGGGAGAATCTATGAGACACACCTGCTTTTCGGCCTAGCACAGGTGCCCTGAGGGAATGCTGCCCTTGCTATAGTGGAGCTTCCAGTTTAAAGAAGCTCCAAATCCAAATTTTCGGGCCATGTCTCCAAATTTTAAAAATGGAAGCTGGCTGGCCGGTAGCTCAGTGGTAGAGTGCTCTCCCAGCACTCCAGAAGCACCTCTCCCAAATAAGAAACGAATTCAAATTATTTTCCTAAGATACCATGTCGGGGCATACAAATGAAGCATCTTGAAGGCCAGACTCAGGCTTGTGGGCTCCGTTTTAAACTTCTAAAGAGACATCTAAAGGCGACAGCAACCCAGCCTTCCCACAATCCTCTTCCTCCCTCGCCTCCTGATACCCTCTCCCCAGGCGCCTCCTCATTCCCACCATGACAACAGTGGCGTCGAGCCCCCTCCGGGCCGGGCCGAGCAGCGTCTCACCTATTTTCACCTCCAGACTCTCGTTCAGAAAGAGGTTGCCCAGCTTGAGGTCCCTGTGAATCACCCGGTTTCGGTGCAGGTACTGGCAGCCCAGGACGATTTGCCGCAGGTAGTAGCGGGCCTCGGGCTCGGTCAGCGCTTTCCGCCTCTTGTGCAACTCCAAGAGCGACTGGAGGAGAAGGGGAGGCGGACTTGAGGGTTACCTGGCAAAGGAGCCCTGGACGAACCCGGACCCTGGCGGACCGAAGGGTCTGGGCAGGTTTCTCCCCACCGGATCCTCCCCCGCCCGCGCCCTCTCCAGGACCCTGCAGTCGCCTGCAGCACCCCCTTTCCTACGGTCCCTCCTCCAGCCCCCCTCTGGCAGCTAGAGTCCCCAAGCTCCCGATCTTCTCCGGAAGCTCAGAAGTTCGGCCCCAAGCACCCTCTCCCGGACCCAGCCCACTCCGGAAGCTCTGGCCCGCGGCGCCCCCGACCCAGGAATCTTCAGCAGCCGCCGGGCTCCTGCACCGCCCAACGCACACTTCGCGTCCAGGAGACGCCTTTCCTAGCAGCAGCAGGACTGGGCCACTTGGCCGGAACCTCCTTCCTAGCAGCTCCGAGAGCCCAGCAGCCCAGAGCGGGGCCCATTTCCATTCCCAGCTCGAGGGTTCCCAGCACCCACTCTCCAGCAGCCTCCAGCAGCTCCGGGTCCCAAGCGCCCCTTTCCGGGAAACTCTTTCCCAGCAGCTCCAAGTCCGGACACCCCAACGGAGCCCCCAGGCAGCTCCAGGGCCCCCGCCGCAGCCACACTCACCCTCCGGCGGCAGAGCTCCAACACCACGAACACGAAATCGTTGTCCTCGAAAAAGCCGTGGAAGCCTACGACATGCTGGTGGGCCAAGCTGCGGTGAATGGAGATCTCCATGGACATCTTCTCTTTCTGGTGCGGCTTAAGCAGCAAAGACTTAGGCACGATCTTGCCCGCAAACACCTCTTTGGTGTCTGCGTCCGAGATCTCGAAACACTTGGCAAAGCCGCCTTTGCCCAAAAAGCGGCCCCGCACATAGCGCCGCCGGCTGCGTGGGTCCACTAAGACCTCGGGGATCTCTTTCGCTAGTGGAGCAGCCGCTGGGGCTCCAGCAGCCGGAACCCCGACTTTCCCAGGGTCGGCTGGTGCCCGCGCCAGCTTCCCCGCAGTCGCCGCCGCACTCATGTTCCCAGAGTTGCTCAGGAGACCTGGCTGGGTGGGTGCAGAGGCTCCGCTCCGCTCTGCACCGCTCCGCTCCTCCCCGAATTCAAACGCGGCGCTGGGAACGTTACAAAAGCCTACGCGCCACTGATTGGCCGCGGGGATTTAAAATCCAAACCCGCCCGGCGCGCGGCACCATGGGAGTGACCAGAGCCGCAGCCGCCTTTAATTCCGTATCCAGCCCCTTAGAAAACTTGATTGACAGCATCCGCAGACAGCCTGCACGTGTGATAGCCTGGGAAACCCTACCTCGCGTGGGGATGCGGAGACCCAGCCCCGGGAGGGGACAGTTGGTTTAGGGTTTGCCTCCAGCGGCCGGGGAAGCTCCTGCAGTTCAGTCGCGCCTCCTCCTGGTGGCTTTTCCTAACACCTTCCTCCCTCCGCCTCCCGTCTCCTGGAATAGAGACTCTTTAAGCCCAGAGACCTGGCAGCACAAAGAGGCGGCTTAGGACAGTACCTGACTGCCATCATCAGCTCTCTGCCAAACCAGGGTAAACAAACTGAAATCTAAGTAAAAATGGGATGCTTGTCCTGTTTTAATGCACCTTTCATGGCAAATCCTCCACATACCCCCACTTCAAATAATGGCTCCCTCTGCGTCCCTGTTTACTGAGCAACTACTTGAAGTTCAGTGCAGGGAGTGACAGCATTACCATCACCTGGGAGCTCGTTAGAAAGGCAAGGACAACTGTTCAGGCTCTACCTGCTCTACAGGGTCAGAATTTGCCTTTAAACAAGGCTGCCCAGGTGATTCCTACACGTGGTGAAGGTCAAGAAGCAACACACACAAACACAGCCAAAGATGCTGGCTCACTGCTGGACCAACCTCCCAGTGGACATTCCAATTTCTTGGTCAGGGGGAGGATGGCTGGTTGGAAGAATGCCTGGCAAACTGGCAGGTCATGGCCAAGTTTGTCTTGCAGGTTGTTTTGTTTGGCTTTTAAAAATTTGAATTCATTTCCAGTATTTAAAAAGGGAGCGCCCATAAAAATGAAGGTTTGTGGCTTTTCCTGAAGGGGAGAAAATCAGCTCAAGCAATTATAAGCCTAGATGCTCTTTCGGTTGGCTGGCATTCCCAGCACCCTCCACACCGTTCCCATTTCCTGTCTGGCTTCTGTAGGCACTGTAGTGGCCACCCTGGAGTGGCAAAGCACCAAGTTAGAAGCTCTTTCTCTGTGCTGCCCTAGCACCTATGGGTCCCTGACGAAACAAAACCTAACCATATAGTCAATGGTCTTTTTGTTTGGGTTTTGTTTTGATACTGGGGATTGAACCCAGGGTCTTGCACATACTAGACAAGTCCTCCCTCTATCACTTAGGGCTACACCCCCAGCCCTCAAACTTGAGCATAATGTCCTCTTTCCTCGCCTCCTGGTTAAGCTGAGAGACAATGATGAGGATTGGTGCTGTGGTTTCTATCCCTCTTCCAAGGTCACAGTGCAATGCCTGATTAAAGAGGGTAGGCACTAAATGTTTGCTGAATAAAAGAAAAGTTAAAATTTTTTTTCAATTAAGCTATTTTTTGTCCCCTTGGTGTGTAATATTTATTTGAAAATTTTCACTGAAATTTAGTATATTTACAGGGAAAAAAAAACATTGTCATAATTCAACAGCTAGGTGAATAATCACAAACTCAAATGCCCTCAGCAAACAGTACCCAGATTGAAAAAAGAAAATGCTACAAGACCCCAGAAGTGCCCCTGATGCACTGTGTGGAGTCCCCAACACCACCTTCCAGTTGATGGCCCACGTGGAGAGAGCCACAGGGCTCCGAGAACAGACATGGCTATGGCATATAAAAGAGGAAGGGAATGAAGCAAATCAGAAAAGGAAAAGGTGCAGGCCCAAGTCCAGAGGAAACTGGGTGCAAACTCCCTGTGCGAAGGAGGGGGTTCGAGACTCTAGGCCTGCTTCTGCTTCCAGGCAGCCTGGCTCCAGCTGGGGCTGAACTCCACACTACAGAAGGCAGCAGGTGTCGGGCTGGAGCCTGGTCCAGGCGGTGAGGATGTGTGAAGTCGGGGTTCCAGGCCAACCCCTGCTTTTCCTCAGCTGCAGCACGGGCAGGCTGCAGGGCCAGACAGCTGTGGTCCAGGGCCAGATGACAAGCACAGCTTCCTTTCTCGACAGTCTTAAGAGTCCAGATTGACCCATTCAAAAACAGGCGCATCAGCCTAGGAAATCATCAGCCTCCAAGGGTCAGACTTGAGATTCCAACAAGGGCTCATTAGCGGCTTAACTGCCTTTTCAAAGCCAAATGTGGGTTTCCATCCAGAAACTGGCTCTCTTTCATGTGCTCCCTTTCTTTCCAGAAGCTCCAGTAGACACAAATCACAACAAAAATCACCACCAGTTATAGAGATTTCTCCCGTTGTAGCCACAAAATGCAAATGCCAACGCACCCACTTGTGACAAAAAGCCAGGAAGTTGTATGTCATGGACACCTTTTTTTTGATGGGGAAGATCCTCCTGGCATTGATAAAATTATAAACATATAATATTTTAAATCCATTTTATATATCCAGGTGCAACAGTCATAAAATACAAAGCCATTTTTTTTTTTAAATAGTATTTATTTTTTAGCATTTGGCAGACACAACATCTTTGTTTGTATGTGGTGCTGAGGATCGAACCCGGGCCCCACGCATGCCAGGCGAGCGCGCTACCACTTGAGCCACATCCCCAGCCCCACAAAGCCATTTTTTAACCTTTATTTTATTTATTTACTGAGGATCAAACTCAGTGCCTCACAGTTGCTAGGCAAGAGTTCTATCACTGAGCCCCAGCTCTAGCTCACAAAGCCAATTTCTTAAATGCAAATTTTCTCAGATCCCTAAAAGTAAATTCTGCATTTATCGAGTTAATGTTGCAGTGTTACAGGTTACAAGCCTGCCATTTGAACTCTTGGGCAGAATGTCCACACCACAAAGTATGATTTTTAAGCCATGGAATAAACCAATAAAACAAGTTAGAGTGTTCTGCATTCACATATCCAAAGAACTATTGTTGAGTATCCATGTATGCTTTATTTATTCCATTTAGAAACATTTACCAAAAAATGAGGAAGCATTCAGGAAAATATCCCTAATTTCTTGGGGTCCTTTAATACCTGTTTTCATAGTCCCTTCTCTTTGACGACATGAAGTTTTCATTTTTATTTTTGCTTTGTTTTGAGACTAGTGGCACTGTGTTGCTAAGACGGGGCTTGGAGTTTCCAGGTTCCTATGTAGCAATTATGGTGTGTTAATACAATCTATCTGCACAGTATCAGTAATAATGATACTAACAGTGAACCCTCATGAGCTCTGATTATGTGCCAGCTTGGCAAAGATGACTGCACTTCATCTTCACAGCGACACCAAGGAGAAAAGAATTATTATTCCTGCTCCGTAGATGAGGAAATGAGCACTTCTGGATGAGGTTGCTTGCCAAGGTTATGTGGCCAGGAGGTGGGAGGATCTGCAACGTCAACCAACTCTGCCGACTCCAAATACACGCACCTGCACAGTGCCTGCCTGCACACAGCCTCTCGGGGCCTTGGTGTTTGTGCTGTAAGGCTGCAAAACCCTTGTCCACTGCCCTCCCTCCCTTCCTGCCAAAAAGCAATAGACGTATTATTAACTCGGGGATTAAAGTAACTTGGATTTTAATGCCAGCACCTTCCTTCCAGATGTGTGACCTTGGGCAAACTACTTATCCTCTCTTTGCCTCAATTCCAGGACTATAAAATGGAGGTAATCAGAGTGCCCATCTCCTAGGACCCTATCTAGGAGTGCATATTGAAGATACTTGTGAAGAGATTAAACGAGGACAGCACTTCAAACAATGCCAGGCACAAAGCACATGGTTTTATTTTTTTGGTACTGGGGATTGAACCCAAAGGGTGCTTTACCACTGAGCCACACCCCCAGCCCTTTTCATTTTTTATTTTGGGTTTTGCTAAAGTTGCTAAGGCTGGCTTCAAACTTGGGATCCTCTTGCCTCAGCCTCCTGAGTCTCTAGGATTACAGGTATGCACCACTGTGCCTGGTCTGGTAGTTGTTGTTATTAAAATAAAAAGCACCTGAGCTGAGGCCTGGGGCTCTTGGTCTCCCCCAGGCCTTTGCAATCCCTAAGCCTCTCATTTCGTTATTCTCCCAGCCCCCGGCCCTACTGCTTCCTCCAGCTCTTGTTGTTCCCATGGACAACCGGAAAGTGCACCCCAGACATCAGAGACTGTGGTGAACACAGCTGAAGAGACAAGTTGATGGGCCAAGGAAAAACAGGGGTGAATGTTCAGACCCAGAGTCTGCAATCGGAGGTGTGAATTTCATTCATGTCTTTTCTCAGATGATTTTCATCTGCATGATCCCTTTGCCTGATGCCCAAGGACTTGGAGATACAGAAAGGTCCCAGGACAGAGAGGTCCAAGTCAAAGACCATCATGAAAGTGCCTGGAGCCAACCCACCAGAGAAAACTTCAGGAAAACAAAGAATTAACCCATGGGGCAGCAAGCACAGTGCTCAGAGCCAACTGCACCCGGGTCCATGGAATTGGAAGAGCTTCATGAAACATGAACTTTGCAGCCAGGCAGGAGTTGGCTCTGATTGCAGTCCAGCCACTGACTAGCTGTGGCATCTTTACTTAACTTCAGCTGTATGCAAATTTACTTTACCTCTCTCTTTATTCGTTTCCTCCTCCGCAAATGGGTTGTGAAAATCCCTAGTTTTTAAATTTTTTTTTAGTTGTAGATTGACACAATACTTTTATTTATTCATTTATTTATATTGGTGCTGAGGCTCAAACCCAGTACCTCACATATGTGAGGCAACCCTCTACCACTGAGCTAAAACCCCAGCCTGAAAAATCCTACTTTTTAGACAGCTGGGAGAATGATATGTTTTCTAAGTGCCTGGCACTCCATCATGCAAAGCAGGGAAGAGTGATCTCTTTTCTCCATCTTTTTGTGATGGACTGATTATGAAAGCAAAGGTGTTCTTAATCTAATTTTAAAACACACACACACACACATATAAGAATGTAGCAGCTGGGTGTGGTGGCACATACCTAATCCCAGCAGCTCTGGAGGCTGAGCAAGCCTCAGCAATTTAGTAAGACCCTGTCTCAAAATTAAAAATAAATAAATAAACAAGGGCTGGGAATGTAGCT